TATATATATATATATATTTATATATATATATATATATATATATATATATATATATCTATATATATATATATATATATATATATATATATATATATATATATATATATATATATATATATATATATATATATATATATATATATATATATATATATATATATATATATATATATATATATATATATATATATATATATATATATATATATATATATATATATATATATATATATATATATATATATATATATATATATATATATATATATATATATATATATATATATATATATATATATATATATATATATATATATATATATATATATATATATATATATATATATATATATATATATATATATATATATATATATATATATATATATATATATATATATATATATATATATATATATATATATATATATATATATATATATATATATATATATATATATATATATATATATATTTATATATATATATAATAATAATAATAATATATATATATATATATATATATATATATATATATATATATATATATTTTTTTTTTTTTTTTTTTTATTTATTTATTTTATTTTTATTTTTTTGCAGCGATAATATTGTGTTCATTCATTAATTTTTCTACAGCTTGGTCTCTATTTCAGAGGTTGCCACAGTGGAATAAACTGCCAGCTATTCCAGCATATGTTTTACACAGTCAATACGCTTCTAGCTGCATCCCAGTATTGGGAAACACCAATACTTATTGACCTATAGCGCATGTGTTTGGACTGTGGGGGAAACCGGAGCACCCAGAGGAAACCCATGCCAACACAGGGAGAACATACAAACTCCACACAGAAATGACAACTGACCCAGCCGAGGCTCGAACCAGCGACCTTCTTGCTGTAAGGCCACAGTACTAACCCTGTACTATAATTAAAATAATACTCTTTTTTTAAGATACATTTTCCATACATTTCCAAACACCAATCCAGAGGAAGCATTGTAAACCCTGTGGTGCATGCGCTGGTTGTGTAGTGTGTGGACACTGTGCAGTTGTGAGTGTTGCAGACGGAGGAATGCGTTTAATGGGGTTTAATGTGTACATACAGCGCCGAGCGAGGGATAATCAGCAGATCGTTACGTCTCATTTTACATGATGCTCGCTGTGTTTCTGGAGAGATTCTCTGTGAGAAACACTGTTGTGCTGGAGATCCGGTTACGGGTTACAGGACCGACCGCTTTCCAGAGCTGCTCATTTTAGAGGCGCCTCCAAAAACTACACGTACAGAAAGGAGATCTGTGTCTTCTGCTCTGACGTCTTTCTCATGATGGAGTGCATGTAAAGAGTCATTCATTATTATATTACAGTAAATATAAGACACTCACAGGGTGTTTCACGTCACCTACCAGTGTTATCATAGCATAACTGACACACTAAGACAGTTTTATATGTTTTTTGTAATATATATTATTTATGAGAGGTCACCACAGCAGAATGAACCGCCAACTATTCTGGCTGGCGTCCAGCCACAACCTAGTACTGTGAATATTATTAGTATTATATGTACATTATTTCCCTTTATATTGTAAGTTTTTTTTAATGTCTGTGTAGGTTTATTTAGTTTTTTTTTTTTTATACATCTATTTAAATTAGATAAAAATGATAAATATATATTTTATGAAATGTATATATATGTATATATATAATTTATATAAATGTATGTATAATATATATAAGAAATCAATATTGAGGAGGGTTTTTTATGTATAATAACCTATTTATAACTAAAATAATTATGGACCAGGGGGCGGGGTTTAATTTCAATATAATCATTTATTACTAGCAGAAACTGAATTTTAGGGAGGGGCAGGGTTTTATTTTGGTATAGTTAATGATTTCCAAATAAAACTGAATATTGAGTGTGGGGCGGGGCTTTATTTCAGTATGTTGATGTACTTCCAACTGAAACTGAATATTAAATAAGGGGCAGGGCTTTGTTTCAGTATAGTAAAGCATTTCTAATTAAAATTTATATTGAGAGGGGGCGGGGTTTTACTTCAGCATCATAAAGTATTTCAAACTGAGGGGGGGGGGGGGGGGTATTATTTTTATTATTATATGATCGCGTTTTTTTAACAGAAAATGAATATTGAGAAAGGGGTGGGGTTTTATTTCAGTTAGACGACATTTACAACTGAAACTAAATATTAAGGAGGAGGCGGGGTTTATTTCAGTAGGATCATGTATTTACAACTGAAAATGAATATTGAGGAGGGGGTGTGGTTTTATTTCAATGTGATCATGTATTTAAAACTGAAAATGAATATTGAGGAGGGGGCGGGATTTTTATTCAATGTGATCATGTATTAAAAACTGAAAATGAATATTGAGGAGGGGGTGTGGTTTTATTTCAATGTGATCATGTATTTAAAACTGAAAATGAATAATGAGGGGGGGTGTGGTTTTATTTTATTGTGATCATGTATTTAAAACTGAAAATGAATAATGAGGGGGGGTGTGGTTTTATTTTATTGTGATCATGTATTTAAAACTGAAACTGAATATTAAGGAGGGGGTGGGGTTTTTATTCATTGTGATTACGTATTTACAACTGAAACTAAATATTAAGGTGGGGGGTATTTAACATGATCTTGTATTTACAACTGAAACTGAATATTAAGGAGAGGGCGGGGCTTTATTCATCATTCTGGGATTTATTTCAAAATGATCATAAAACTGCAACTGAATATTGAAAGTTATTGAGGAGGGGGCGGGGTTTTTATTTAATGTGATCACGTATTTGCAACTGAAACTGAATATTGAGAGGGGGAAGGTATTTATTTCAGTATAATAATGTAATTCTAATAGAAACAAAATATTAAGGAGTGGGCGGGGTTGTGTTTTTAGTACGATCACGTATTTACAAC